GCCTAAACATGCACAGACACATTGAAAACACACAAAAGAGCATATAAAACCAGAAAAAGAAGAATATGGGACCTTTAAAGAAAGTTTTGTTTTCTTCTTTCCAAGTGTTGCTCATGGTGAACGTAGGCTCGAGGCTAACAGCTGCAACACGCTAACATATCAGTCAACTCTAATTCTGCAAATTCATAACCGTTACCAAATTATTATTTTTTTGTACCAGGTTGTAAAGAATGGGTATTTCGACGTGGAACTAATGGGAACCCCTTGCCTCAAGTGGACACTCAAGGAACTGCAGTTTTGTGCATTTCACAGTAGTTTCAGTTTTCAACATCTGAGGCTGCAGCTTGGCCAAAACAGGAGTTTTAATCAGAGGGTTTAAGGCAGAAAAAGGATACTTTAAAAAACCACCAAACACTCCCACTGCAGGCCCAGGACTGAAGCGCTCATCACTAGCAGCTAATTGAACAGCGCTCGAGTGTTTTAATGTGGATTCCTTTAATTCCACCCACACATTGAGCTGTTAAACCTGACTAAGCAGTTCCGCACACACTCTGCCTTGTTAATCCTGACCATCAACACTGCTGCTGAGCATCGCTATGCCTGCGTCACGTGACCATTTAGAAGTTAGCTTACTGTAGTAGATTGCCACTTAATCACACATCACTCTTTCACTGTAAGCACCAGTGAGACAATTGATTTTAGATACACTCATATCGCCGTGATAATTGCGGCGGAGGAGTGGGAGAAAAATTAGGGGGTGTAATTAAATCAGGCCTATTCTCAGGTTTTAAGGCCAACGCAATTTTTCCTGCTTTATGTGGCAACCCATTGGGAGGCAATGATTGTATCGATTGCTTCCATTAATTAGGGCAGAGCAAAGTAATCTGGAGAGGGATGTTGGAATAATTCTCTTTAAATGTTTCAGAGTGGAGCAGGACCGATCAATCAAAAGTTGGGGTGGGGGGGAGTGTGGCCGGAGAGACTGACGATTGAGCGAGGTGACAAATAAGCAATCTCGAAGCGAACTCAAAATAGCGACAGAGATATAACTGGGTGAATTAGCGATCATTTGCCACTTATAGCCTCAGACAACAGTGGACTAAATATAGAGCATGTTGACTCAGTGGTCGGGGGGGGGGGATCAGTTAAAACATGCATGAAGATGAAGGAATGCTGCAAACATGTGTTTTCATGATCGCACAGCCGGAGACAGAAAAAAAAAAAAAAAAAAAGCTTCAGATCAGGATTTGATCTAAAAATATCTTAAACAGTGAACATTTTTTTTTTTTTCTTTCTCCAGAAATGGCTTGTAATTATGCCGCATCAAAGAGACGCTGTTCTCTAGAAGCGGACAGTCGGAGTCACGCCCAGCGCTGGCAAACATTGTGTTAAAGAGCACGCAGGCTGTGAAACTCTCCTGACTGTAAGGTCTGACCTTTCCCAAAGGCGGAGGGGATTAAAGACACTTCCCCTTTGAGGTTAAACAAAGTATAAATAAACAACATGAATGTTACTTCAGATGGATTTTAAAAGGGAGAAAGAATCCAGTTTGGAAGAAAGCAAATGTTTCCTCGCATGTATTTGACATCCGTAGATAATTATGTGAACTTGTTATTCGTCCAACAACAACAACACATATACAACATTTTGCACGCCGTTGAAGCGTGGAGCGGCATGTCTCTTTTCACAAGTCGACCCCTCGAGCGTCTGAGGGCCCCCCCCCCCCCCCCTTGAGAGTCTTCATGCAGGCAGCGGAGAATTACATCAGAAACTCAAAGATTCTCTAAAAAGGTCAACGCTTTCATAGCTTCTTCATTCAGACAGAGCCTTGAGGTTGAAGAAGTCCTCCCTAAGGCTAATCAGGGACTACGCAGGAGGGCAGAGAGAGAGAGAGAGAGAGAGAGAGAGAGAGAGAGAGAGAGAGAGAGAGAGAGAGAGAGAGAGAGAGAGAGAGAGAGAGAGAGAGAGAGAGAGAGAGGCCACCCCGGGGAAGATCAAAGTGCTGCAGCCTTTAGACCTGCTGCTGTTTGCGCTCTAATGTGCTCCTCTGCCACCTCTCTCTCTCGCTCCCACCTCTGCCATTCTGCCATCTCAGGCATGGGAGGGGCCTCAGACGACAGCACACCCCACACACACACACACACACACAAACACACACACACACACAAACACATGCTTTCTGACTGTCAAGCTGTGCAGGAAGTGGCGCTCAGTTGAATTAATTAAAGGGTGAGAGAGCCGGGGTGGATGAGACCTGGTGCAAGCTGGTGCTGGATGCCAGCAGAGAGCAGGTCTCTGTGGATTTGGAGGACAGAGGGGACAGAGGCCACACGAGGCCGTTTGCGCACGTTGCTGTGGATCTGATGCAAGAGCAGCTACCCTCCTATAAGTCCTGTTTTATAAAACGTGTCATCTGAGGACGGTATAAAATGACTTTAAATCTACTTTTGTTTTGTGTTGGACACTTCGACCTGTGGGCTGCAGCAGCATGAATCAAATCTCCAACCTTTCAATTTAGAGATAACCCTCTCGTACGTACACGTCATATATAGCAGCTTGCTTCTTAACCCTTGTGACATACTTAAGGAACTTTTGGTGCACCTTCTGGACGATGCAGCATCTCTCATCTCTTTGTTGATCTTGACTGAACATTACTAATTTGTGTCTTCAGATGAAAAGTCTCATCCCTCATGTCTTAACAGTCGAACATATTTGCAGAGATTCTTTGTCACTGAGGGTGTAAGAAAGAGATTATTTTATCAGCGTGCTGTCAGTCACATTGTCTAAAAGCTGCCCAAAGTCATCAGCGATTACAGGACTTAAAAAGACGTTAGAATTAAAGAATCTTGTTTTGATGTCAGGACTCGTACAGAGGCATCGGTTATAATTTCAGTTCCTTAAACCGGGTAAAAACTTCTCAAATGAGCTTTAAGTAACTTACATAACGATAGCTCTTATTTAAAGCCAAACCATTGTCTCTTGTCTTAACACCAATATGGTTTGCTGCATCTGAATTGTGAACGTTGAACGTGTTTTCAGACTGTTGCAGGCGCCGAAGTCTTCAAATCTGAAACGCTTGTCAGCAAGCTTTCTTATAAAAACATTACAAAAACAATTGTTGCTACAACGTGGCTGCTTTATTTTGAGAGTTTAAGTCGAGGTTGCATTTTCATTATTGCTCACTTGAAGGCAAAGCCCTGCCATGTGCCAGACAGCACAGGGGATAGTGTTTAACAAAGGCGGGAGAGAGAGAACGTGTTGGCACAATAGCTGCACACAAAGTCAAGGAATTCCATGTTATCTTTGTCAGTGACTTCCTTATTACAACAGATGACACTAATACACACAAAAAAGGGTTGTGTGACAGCGACGTTAATCTGGAAGGATTAACACAGTGAAGAGCTCATCTTTGCCAAAATTGTATCTCTCACTGTCAAGACAGGCATGAACACTTAAGATGACACATTTCTGCAAAAGGTAAAAGGTACTTCAGGAGCACAGACGTACAGAATATTAAAAAAAAACAAACAGATGAAATCCCTAATTCCCTGAGTTAAAAATCTGAAAAAATACAAACAGCTCACGCGGCCAGCAGGAACTGGCTGTCAGGACGTAACAAGCAAAGCGAGGAGAAGTGCGACTGTACTACGAAGAGGTCTCTCCGCACGTCAGCACGGGGAATAAGAATACTACAAATGAGACGCCACTGCACATCATTGATGACGCTATTATTAGCCTCCATTGTTCTCCGTCACACACACGTATAATTATAAGTAGCTCTAGGTTCACATACGTCCTGAAGATATGAAACAATCCCCTCTGATTCACACAGATGACAGAGTAGATATTGAATCAGGCTGAAAAAGAAAAAAGTACAAATGGAACAGAGATGGCTCCTCAAACAGCAGAGAAAAAAGGTGTGATAATATTGGCTTGGTTTGGAATCTAATTTTCAAGTCCTGATCCCCCCCCCCCCCCCCCCCCCGCGCCCCCTAATAGCAGCACCCACACAGATCCCCTCTGCAGCGGCGTGGCACACCCAGTTAGAATGAAAAGAGAATCAGTTTTTTAAAAAACCCACAGTTTGGATGACCCGTGAGAGACGAGCATAAATCATTCTGTGTGATGTCAAAAAAAAAAAAAACCCACTCCCCCCCCTCGGCATATCACAAATGGTTAATGATGTGAGGTTGCTGAGAGGTTGGTGCACCCTAGTGGCGACTACTGAATCAAGCTTTAGAGTCCTTCACACCCACTCCACACTCTGCGATGTGGAGGCTGCTCTGCAATGTCGATATTTTACATTTATGCAATTATTTTTTTTTTTTGAAAAAAGCCAGCACAGAACAGAACGTCCAGGCTGCTCTGTGTACTACACACCACAGCTTCTCCCTCTTTTAATAAGAGCAATACACGACAACACCCTCGTAATCCAGTTAATGGGAAGACAGGCAGAGGAGAGGAGGGGTGTCAGAGATGAGTGTGCGAGGAAACGATTAGTGGTGGGAGATAAAGGGCCGATAAAGGGAGGACAGAGGCGACCACAGCTCGCGGTCCGTCAGCTGGTCTCTGCAGTGTCATTAGGTCGGACTTTGGCTGATTAGAAGAATTGGAAATTGCAGTGTTTGCCGCAGGCCGGAGCCGGGCGTCCGCTTTAGGTTTCTAATGATTAAGCAACACGGTAAGTGATCACAGCTTATCTGAGGGCGAGAAGCCACTCCGGTTGTCTTCAATGTGTCCCATAAAGGTGCTTTGATTCAGGGTGCTCTGATTGGCTGCAGTGGTACAGTGACGGGTTAAAGGAGGCTGTGTTAGTACTATGAGTCTATGGGGGAGGACAGGACAAATCTGAACCAGATTCTCAGCCCACACCTCTTGTCAGCTGATTCTGTGCTCTCACAAACACCGGCTTAATGAGCGTGCTTCTCTTCTTTCAACACTCTTTGACTCTCAGGCGTTTTTTTTTTTTGTTTGTTTGTTTGTTTGTTTGTTTTTTTTACCCGTGAGCTTCTTCACCGGCTGCAGCCTCACGCTGATGGTCTGGTGGGTGAGCAGCGGCGAGGAGGGCAGCGAGCGGGACACGCCCTCCATGATGCGAATGTGGTGCATGCCCTCGGTCATGTGGAGCGGCGGCACGGCGTAGTCGCCCTCGAAGGCACAGTCACTGTCTATGCTGCCACCTGCAGGACGGGAGGGGAAGCAAAAGGAAAAGTGTGAGAGGCAGCCAGGATTTCTTAAACTGAGTGAATGTACAGAAGATGCTACTTATAAAACTTTCCGTCAATGCATTTGCAGATAAATCTTTATGAAAGGACATCACTGTGGTTACATGAGAATGAAACTTGAATGCTCAATAGGATGACCGAAAAGGGAAAGAATGACAGAAATATTTGATAATGGGCCGAAGAAAATGTAACAAAGGCAGTCGTGGGAGCATCATTTGTTTTGTTAAGAGCAACCACACATCACAGTCTGAGTATGACATGACAGAATCACTCCGTATCCGTCATGAATAGAAGTAGACACCAGCGTGCGTCATGTGGACACAGTAGTAAAGTTTTTTAAACCACCTGTAGGCGGCCTGTTTTTTACCCCATTTTTTTAATAACAAGTACAGTAAGCACAGCACTACATTGCATAAATTCCACACATTTTTCAATAATTCAAGCTTCTGCAATCCAAACCGAGGCCGTGCAACAACAAATAAATCTGTAATTAAGTGTCATTTATATAAAATGTTGATGATGTGAAATCAAGTCTGTCACTTTTATAGGTTTATAATATGATAAATAACATGGGTGGATTTTATTACAGCAGTGTTCTGTGCTTAAACTTTATCATTCTGACAACTAGAGAAGCACTGATTGTTGATACCTATGTTTGAAAGAACTTTTTAGCCGTTTAGCCGATTTCAATGTTTTTTTTTTTCCATGACTTTTTTTTCTGAATTCTTTGTGCATGTTTTTCTTATGAGCTTTGGGTTTGCATGCATGTAAAACGCTGGTAGTGGTCCCTCCTTTTGAAATCTGACTGGAACGTTTCCTACAAAAAGTGCATGTCGGTGATCTTTCTAAGAGACGCTGTAAGACTCTCACACTGACCACATTCTCTCGAACACGAGTCACCCTGAAAACAGATCAGAGCTTTTCCTCCTTCTGCCCAATAAAAACCTGTTCTCTGAATCAACAGAAAGGTAAACGATCATTTATGCACGCCACATTCTTTCCTGATTGGACGACGTCAACAGGGACGGCATCAGCTGTTACAGATGTGCAACATGTGTCGGTGCATTCTAACTTATTAATTAAGTCGATGACAGAATTGATTGTTCAGTGTATTGAACATCAGATAAACAGAAGGGAGAAATGGGCTGTGGCTCAGTGGTACAGTCGGTCGTCTGTCAACCGTAAGACCGAGGGTTTGATCCCAAGCGGTCGGACGTCGATGTTTTCCTCGGGCAGGACAATTAACCCCAAACTGCTCCGACTGCTGCATCAAAGGCGTGTTAATGTGTGTGAATGGATTAGTTAACGCTGATGGACACTTTAAGCCGTCAGTGTGTGAACTTGGTGTGGATGTGACGGTGTGACCCGGGATGGGAAAAAAAAAAACCACTTTGAGTCGTCAGAAATGTGCTGTACAAGCTCAACCATAAAGATCAGTGTGTTCCAGAGCTACAGGCTGAGGTTTCCTTTATCCAAACAAACTGCAAAAAAGTCTTTTTTCAGTTAATTAACAAAAGAAGAAAACAGAAAAAAGCAGCAAATCTTCATTTATGACTGTGAGCAGCAAAATGTTTGTTCAAAGACAAACCATTGATTTTCATAACCCGTATAATTGTTTCAACACTTAAAGAGTTGATTATACTCGTGTTTCTGAGTTCACTCCTGTACAGAGTATAAAACAGAGTCCTCTAAGAGTACCTCAGCCCGGGTCCTGATGTCAGTGAAACAGCAGTTATCGAGTTGGCGTGACCCAGAACGGGAACAGCCCTGCAGGCAACACGTGCCGTTTACATTCACTGTAACAAACATCAGGCTGCCCGACCTCAGGACGCTCCACACAAACGCAATCACCCCGCCATGTCCATGTCTAACCCATCTGAGCTGTGTTTAAACAAAGTGAAAGAAAGAGCATGAGAAGGCATTTCATTTAAAAAGAAAAAAAAAAAAAGCTCCCACAATGAGGCGTAATTACAGATGGAGCCCCAACGTCCATTCTCCTGACCCACCCACCCCCTTTTCCTCTCCTCTTTCAAAAACCACAAATTATGACCACACACACACACACACACACACACACACACAACACAACATCCATTTTGTGAATCAACCCCAGCTGGCACCAGTCTCGCTTCAGAAAGGAGCCGCCGCAGTGAGTCGGTATTATCAGGACGAGTGCGTGTCAGACCACAGAGGGTGTTAGGTAACAGTTAGGACGGGGTCAAACCAGCCGTAACACAAAGTCCAAACACTTGTTTTGTTGCCCTAAAGTAATAGAACATGGGGGGGGGGGGCACCCCTCTTGGTAGACACCCCAGGTCACTTAGGGGCCCCCCGCCAAGGGCTGACAAACTTTAAAGTCTTTATCTGTGATTTTTCACACTTAAATAGAAATCAAGTCTATCCTCTGAAAATAACTCTGTGAGTCATGACTGTCTACAATGGGTGTAACACCCGAGTCCCACTGTCTGTGATGTTTTCAGAGTCCTATCTTCACTTTGTTTACATCGCCGGGACGGCCGGCTGACTCCTCCCCTCGTATAAAAGTTGTTTAATTGAGGGACTAGAGAAAAGAAGAATAACATACTGTACTCACTGCTTAACTGTGTTTCTAGATCACGCTCATTTCAGGTAAATTTACATGCAGTGTGAAGATACCAGCATAATAAAGATCGCTAGCATTAGCATGCTAACACAACAATGCAGCGCGAGTTGTTTTGGTTTCATGCTGGTGCTCAAGGGCGACATCTGCTGGATCAAAAATCGCATATAAAGCCTTTAAACCACAGCAGTGGCTCAAAATGTGCTAATTTTCCAATGACTGTAGGAAACCTCCCTTATGGGGCCCCATCTGACAGCGCTCACTCTCCCTGCTGAGGATTTATCTGTCTGGGAGTGAAACAAAAGAAAAGAGGAAGAGCATCGTGACACGGGTAGATGAAATATTGGTTGGAGGGGCCCCTGATTCATTTTTTGCCTATAGGGCCCCAACACACTCTTGAATCGCTGCTGCGCCCGCTCAGAGGACTACAGCCTCCTAAATGGGGAGTGACCTAAACCGCTAGGCTATCTGCGCTCCCTTCACAGAGGTTTAATCAGCACTTCCACTTCTACCCCGTGATGTGGGAACCCGCCTCTAGTTGAGTAAAGTGTGTGTGTGTGTGTGTGTGTACTTTGACATCTCTGTGGATCAACAACAGCCAGAGCAGCGGCTACATCCCCGAGCATGGAAATTCTCCTCGTGTATGCAAAGCCATGGACTGAATACCAAGAGGGGAGTTGGTATTCTGGCAGCAATTATGGAGATGCAACTCAAATTTAATGCATTCAATATTGGATGAAAACACACAATTATGCCGCTATTAAGCACTTATTCTCCATAAAGCTTCAGAAATAAGTGACACTCCACATTAAAATAATCAAAAGTGATGCTTTAAGAGATGTAGCACTCCTTAAATCTCAAGACTCTCTTTTTCTCAAATGCCATAAACTGTGTGATGATGATGATGATGATGATGATGATGATGGAGAAATCAAAAAAAAAAAAAAAGGTGCCACTGAGGGCAGAGCTGGAGGGAGGAGAGGGAGGAGAAGCAGCACTTCAGCGCGGAAACCCGGGGAACAAAAGCGTCGAGGAGGGAGGAGGGAGGAGGGAGGAGGGAGGCTGTGATGAGAGAGACGTGTTCAAGGGCCACTCCATGCCTGGAAATAAACACAAACACCTACTCATCGAGATGTTTGGCTCTAAACATGCACAAGGGGGGGGGGGGGGAAACATGGAATCGTAATTGCCCGAACATTTCCTGCCAAGAAGACATTCCTGTTGTTGATAAACATCTTCTGTTGTAAACAGGGCTGAAGGAAAAACTCAGATTTACAGACCGAATTACCAAGAAGATGCGATTCATACACAGCTCTCTTCCTGTAAATATAACTTCATTTCCAGGAGCCGTAAAGTGCTCGGCTATAAAAAAATTAAAAAAAACTCAGCCTGGTAAACAAGGCCTCTGTGGCTGGGCTTCTGTGTAAACGTTAATGGAGGAGAAATGGAGTCTGAAAGGAGACGGCTAGGAGAGAAATTGTTGCAGGAAATGAGAAGGTAAAGGTGGAGAAAGAGCTTCCTCATTCACTCGCGTAACACATATTTACACCTGAAAATAGCTCGCCATCGTCCATAATAGCGGTTGCACAGACGACTTCACAGCTGTGTGATGACGCTTCATGCCTGATGGGAACTAATCGCTCTTCAGGATGGAAAAACCTGAAGAACTGTGACTGAGCAGGACTATGACAAGTGAGTCTGATGCAGATGCTTTGTTTACCAGAGTGTGACTTTTTTTTTTTTTTCCTTTTGCACTCACTCACATTGATGGATTATATGAGCGCATGTTATTGTGCTGTCAGCAGGATATGCATGAAGTTTTGCAAAACAAATAGTTCTGCTGGTTGCAAAGCATTCCCTCCTCCTGTTATTTTGTTGATAACTTCATCAGCGACTCGTCGACTAGGACCAGCGGTTCTCAACCCCGTCCGGCTTCAGGACCCACCAACAACTCCTCTGTGAAAAACTCAGACCCAAGTTTTGGATATTTTTTCGACCAATCAGATTTATTAACTGAATTTTAAAAAAAAAGTTTGGACCTCAGATGGTACAAAACATGTGACAGAATCAAGAAACTGAACCAAACAAACATGTTTAAAAAAATACTTTTACACAAAGTTTTTTTTTTTCAGGGAAACATGTGACCCACTGAAATGGCTCAGCGACCCACCTCTGGATCTCGACCCACCAGTTGAGAACCAATGGACCAGACGACTCGACTATTATCACATCATGAGCAAAAGAAGCTTCTGCCAGGTATGTGTGTGACCTACCTTTTTGTCACGCACAAAGCATCCAGCTTAGTACTTTTTTAAAGCTCGAGTATGGATACACAAAGGACGTTGGGGCTTACCTTGACCGACGTGGCTCAGGTGAGGGTCTAGACCGGGTGAACGCGGGTCTGCCAAGTCCTCGCTGCCGCCATCTGCGGACGAGGAGCACAGAGAGAAAGACAGGGAGTGAGCTCGGTGGTGCTGGAAGCGTGGCGAGGAGGAGGAGGAGTTGGCCAGCAGCAGGGCCACATCCTCCTCGCCGATCAGCCAGGTGTGCGACCGCAGGACCCCCAGGAGGCTGCTCATGCACAGGCCCTCCACGCCCTTCCTCCGGGGGCCCAAACGGCTCCTCATGGTGGCGAAGGGCGACCGCGCCGCAAAGCTCCACTTCTTCCGCTCCCCCATGTTTAGTCTAAAAAAACAACCAGTGAGCCTATGTCTTAAGGGAGGGGGGGGGGGGGGGGGGCCTGCCCGCGCAGATAAGGAAGGGGTTTACATTACAGCCGTTGTAGCGTGCAGAGAGCGGAGCGTTGGAGACACAATCAAAGAGCTCACTGGGCTCCGTGTGGTTCACTGAGCGAGGACTAGCTGTAGAAACAGTGGGCGTTTCCCTTGATAGATCCACATACGCTTAATGATATGAGGATCAATTACGCCCAAGGGAGCAGGCAGGCAGAATTAGCCACAGTGGATGGAGCTGAAACAAGAGGAGAGGGGTGGGGGGGGTGGGGGGGGGGGGGCGGCTGCATCATCACTGGGCAGCACAGTCAGTGTCACCGGGGGATTGTTTCATAATCCCGTTCAAGTGCTGATAGATCTACTGTAAAGCACGGCAGGCCGGCAGAGGAGGAGGTGTGGAACAAATGATTTATACTCAGAATAAATACATCCCACTGGAATTAAGTGAGCTATTTATATAAACACTACGAGGATGTATGAAAAGCATTTCCAAGCCTGATAGATTTTCTTTTTATTGCTGAAGGATCGCATGTTTTTTTTCAAAAGCCACCACCATTGTTGTTTTTTTTTTTTTTTTTTTTTTAAATCACAGAGCTCACATCAGCCCAAACAAATACTCTTTAAGTTTTTATCTCCCTCCAAATCGCAGATTCACACGCCGTGAGCCAGAGCAGCCACACAGCAGGCTCGATTGGCTGGCTGGTGGAAAGATCAAGCTCGTCGATGGACAGATAGAATCAGCCGCCGGGCATGGTTGTGTGAGAACTGGGCCAGCTCAAGATAGACACTGATTGTGGAAGGGAGACCTCTGCAGAGGGTTTTTTTTTGTTGTTGTTTTAAGCGCTGCATAACATGTCGGGAAGTGTCAAATAAACAGGCATACTAAGAAAATGTGAAATGTTACACACTAAAAAAAAACACACATTGTTAAAGAGTGAATTTGAGACATTCTCTGCTGCTAACGCCTCGACTCTCACCTCCGTTTCTTGCATGTTCAACACCGACAAACCCACCAAAACTAGAGTCTCACCTTGTCTACCTGATGAGCCATATCGTCTAGTAAAATCAATGTTGTGAAAATCAATATGAGCTGTTATGATATGCGGCTACGAGCACGGCTTGCACAGTGAGCCATGAGAAACAGGCAAGTGCATGCAAGTCCAAATAAAGAGCGTGACGCTGTCAGCGGAAAGCTCAATGATATACACTAATAGATTCTGCACGCTTGCTATACTCCTGCAGCGTGTCTGATTAGTACCTGAGGTGACGTTTTGAGCAAAGTGCTTGTCGGCGGACAGGTTCACTAGATTGTAATGATATACTAGAAGCATTAACGAATCATGCATGAAGGATATACACATGTGGAATTTGTAGATCAAATTCACCATGTTTTTCTAACACTTATGTGTGTTTCTAGTATGTCTACGAACCCCCGATCACGCGTCTTTTGCCTGCTCCACTTTTCAGAAAATGTGTCCTCAAACAGGCTGTTTGGAGATTTTCCCTTCATGACATCACAAAGGGCAGTAGCCCCTTCCCCCCAGGTTGGGTGACACTCCCACAGCTAGGTGTTTGTTCTGCCCTCTGAGTCTGCCTTCTCACTGTAGACAATCGGACATGGAGCGAGAAAGCCTGAGACACATTTCCTCCCAGAGAGGGGGGCGTGGTCAAACACAGCTCATTTACATATTTAAAGGTACAGACACAGAAACAGCCTGTTCTGATCAGGGCTGAAATAGAGGGGTTTATAGGCATGATCAAATACAGGATCAGAGTGGATTTAGAACAAGAAACTTCACAGAGATGTTCTGGGGAGCTCTGAGAGTGAGGCTGCTACACAGTGAGCACACCAGATGTTGGGGGTTTCGGTGCCTTGCTCAGGGGTAACTCGGAAGTAGTTAGAAGTAGTACTCTCCAGCTACTAGACCATATTTTGGTCCGCACCGGGACTGGATGCAGTTTCCCATGCAGGGAAAGCTTTGTACCACTTTAATAAGAGATGCAACGCTTTCTTTCATGCAGATAGTTCTCCTGTTACGCAGTGATTACACTACAATGTCCCGCCACACAGATCAATGGCCTATTAAGCCGGGAACATGAAAGAGGAGGACCGTTATGTGACAGAAGACAGATATATGCGCGTTTTCACTCCAACATCAGAGACAAACATTGGACATCTTTCTGGTTCCTCACAGAACACCTGTCACCCACAATGTGAAACACGGCTCAGTATCTCATCATCAGACTCAGAGTCAGGAGAGACAATCATCCCTCTGTAACCACGTCCCATTCAGCCGTGAAATCTGACGCTAAAAGACCATCTCCTAAACCAAGGGAATAATGGCGCTCTCTCGCTGTGTTGGATGTTCTTTGCCGCTGTAATGCCACGCTGCCGTGTGCGTTAGGATGTCAGAGGAGCAAGGCCAATTTCGCACTCGGACAAAGAGTCATTATGGGAGAAGTCGGCGTGACATCTGATAGTGATGCCATGGAGCATGGCGGAGAGGATCTCTATCATTACGGCTCAGGCTGACTTTGATGAACCTGTCTGCGGTTCGATGTGACCTCTGCTCCAAAACGAGGCTTCTTTTCCAGGTACCGCCTGGGGGGTCATAACGTTAAATGGTGGTATTTTTTTTTTTGTGGGATTACCTTTCATACAATAAAAAAAAAAAAAGAAGGGAAAGCTAAATCACCAGTTCCTTGAAGAGAGTTTTAGCTGGAACCTTTTTTGTTTGAACAATCTGAGAAGGATTAAGTTGTTTTTTTTCTGTGACTGATCAATCACGGCAAACAGAAGAAAATGCAATAGACTCACCCCTTTAAGCCTAATCGATGCCCGTTTCTTACTTCCAGGACTCTCCAAAATAGCCAACAATGGAAAAAGAAAAAAAGGCAGCTTAGCCTTGTAGCTGGGACACATCCCGGTTATTAAGAGCTGGAAGAATTACATCCCTCAGCTCAATGACTTCACTCAGCGACAGCACGGTGATTCAGTTCTTTTCTACCTTTTTTCTTACCTTGGCTGATTGCCTCCGCGGGGCCTTAATGTTGTTGTTGTGTTGCCAACTTGTTGTCAATCCCCGGTTGCTCACCAGGAGACAAACTAGGACCTCTAATTAAACACTTGTATTCTCCCTGTTACTCTCCGTGTCAGAGCTGATTTCTCTTACCATTCATCATAAAGAGTAAAAAAAAATAAAAAAAAAACCTTACAGAGATGCATTACATCCTTTTTTACACGCATCCTGGAAGAAGCATGATTTCTACAGAGACAGAATGATAAATAATTCAGGAAGTTTGTGGCAAGAAGTGATACATTTTCTAATTACGTGCACCGCACCCTTGCATGATCCAAGCATCCTTATTTCTCAAGAGTGCTGAATGTTAAACTATCTTGAATCCCCCCCCAAGTGCAGGAGCAGAAACGGGGATCATGTGCGAGCAATGATAAATAAAACATGCCGACATTTATTCAGCCCACACACAAAATAAAATATGTGCATCCCATATATCACATAGAGTTATCGTGCATATGGAAGCTGGTGTGCCGCGGGTAATTCACCAAAAATAGAGTTTGATTTCAAGAGTACAAGAAAAGCTAAAGTTTGAAATTGGAAAAGGTAAATGCCAGCGAGTGAATCAGCGCTGATTCCCTGTAATGAGCAATGATTGCTGCTGCCAAATGAGAACTTGTGATGTCACCGGAGAGGAGGCTGGGATGTGACTGTTAATGCGCCTTTGGGCAGGGCACTTTAAAACCACCAACTCAAGGGCAACTCAAGCAGCAGGAAAAATCTCAAGAGTATGAAGTGAATCACAGACTGCAGACTTCTTCGTATGAAAAAAGGTTTCTCGCTAATGAAGCTTTTAAATTGCATGAACCCTTTGATCTACTACATTATACAACTCCAAATAATAGTAATGTGAAGCTTTTATAAATGTGTTCTGTCTTGACTTAAAGTCCCCAAAAAACAAAAGATATTTAATTCTTTATAAATTCAGCAAATGTCGATGAATGACTTTTCACTGAGTGTTAATTTTGTTGAATTTCTGCGCTTGATTGTAGATTGGGCCACCAGGGCGCTCTCAATCAATACTACAATAACAAAAAGGTGACGCCAAGGCTAGTGGGGAATCATGCCCCCTCCCCCTCATACAACATTCTATCATATAGTAAAGTATATGGTATCGTGAGTAACCCTGCTGTTCCCACCTGTAGTTAGCAGACGTATGGAGAGCACAGACATCACCCTCCTCTATCCCCGCTGTCAATCATCCAATCTTCAAACCATTTCAGTGCCTATAAGCGAAAAGAGTGTGTCTAAACAAACAAACTGCTCCTCTGCTTTGCATCCATTTGAGCTTAAATCTGATCAGAAACACAACAAAGTGGAGCATCGTAATGAATCACAGCCGAGCTGCACCGATCCGTCTGAGAGCGCAGACATCTGCTCAGTCTGAAAAGTTGGCGGACATCTTCATTAGCATCAGCCTTGACGGAAGCTATAGGAATGTATGTATGCACACTAACTAACACACACACACACACAACACACACAAAGTTGATGTTAGTGCACTTGTCAAGCATTACTCTGAGCAGGCCTGCCTGGGTCTACCAGAGGAAGTGGAGGGTTCTGACATCCTGTCAATGTAACAATAACAATACAGAACTGCTTCCATTCAAACCACA